TTTTAATTTATGTCAAAGGCCGAAAACACTTTGCTTTAGCTCTCTGGCAGCCAAGAGCAGATACGTCAAAACCAGCACAGTAAGGTGGGGAAAAGACAAGATGCTATCATGAAGCAAGCAGTGAAGAGTATCTCTGCCACTGCTTGGCACAGGGCTCCCTTCTAGACCAGGAATAATCTTCTCTACTGAAATCAAGGCTCCCCTTATGGGACAGCAGAAGAAATCTCAACAGAAGATTCACTGCTGTGAAGCCATGGAAAGAATTCAAGTCCAGATTGATTTAACAGGACCGAATTGGTTTGCCTGGGCCAATTTGTGAGGAGTCAAACAGAACTGGAGGCTCATTTTAGATAACTTCTTGTCACTGTAAAGTACCAAGCAGCACAGATATGGCAGGGTGCATGTATTTCCCATCATTAGGGGCAGGGAGGTGAGACAGAAGGACGGCATTACCTTTCTCAGCAGCATTCACAGAACTAGAAAGGTTCACAGTACTCTGTCCCTGCCCTCCGACAGGGCCAGCGGGGATGTAAAGTCCTACAGTGGCCCTGTGTCCCCACTGCAGAACCACACCAAGTGAATTCCTCTGGGCATCAGCTGTTCCCTCTAACGTGGTTAAAAACTGTCTTCCCGAGAACAACCCAGCACCTATATCATGCAGACACCGTACACAGTCTTTCAAAGAAGTCTGCTCTCTTGTGCTCTAGTGCCTGTAGAAAGCCCTGGATTCTCTCTTCCCGCATGGCAGTGCATTTCTGCAACAGTGTCCGTCGGCGCCGAGAGTCTCCGTGGGATGCAAACCCCTCCTGCTGCAGCTTCTTTGTCACATAAGCCTGATCCCTTTCCATCTGTTGTCGTCTCCTTTCCTCCATGTAGGAGTCTCTGGCCTTCTAGAGTGAAAAGCAGTAGAGCGTTAGCACTTTAGCAGGCCTTTCAGTTCATCTGTGGTACAGATGCAAGGCAGCATAGGTTATGGAAGAGATAGCCTCTGCCTGGCCATCAATCTGCAGGTTAAATGAAGGGTGGCTCTGTGTGCGCCTCCTCCGCTTTGAGGCAGCCTGCTAGATTGGTTATAAAAAAAAATAAATACAGGGATATCCTTCTGGACCTTCTCCCCAAGACATAAGTCAGCTCACAGCATTAACTCCTAGTTAAAATAGATAAAGGTCATGACAGATTGTGGAAAAACCCTCAGATATCGGAATCAGAGGAACAGCATACAAGAGGACTTTCAAAGCACAGACGTGCACACAAGCTATCCTCACCAGTGTCATCACAGAATCTTTCATCCTATTCACATGGCAGCTGAAAGGTTTTAGGGGATTCAGAACAATGATTTATGGGGCAATTCTTTGAGCTGATGATCAGGTATTGAGCTAATCAGCTTCAGTAAAAAAAGCAAGAGTGGGCTCAGCATTCCCAAATGCATGTGATCTTGTAATGTACCAGCTCGAGACACAGCAGGATGGGCAGAAGAAAGGTAAAGGCAGTAGCTATCCTTGCCTACGCTTCAAGTATTCGAAATATTTTTACTGAACATCACTTTTGGATTACTTCTTACTGCACATATCCTAGCCTGCAGCCGCTAACAGCAAAAACACACCTGCATGCAGAAATATTAAGCTTTCATTTTTAGAAAGAGTAGAACTGGTCACTGTGACATAACCTGACACGCACACATTTAGGGAATGCTGGCATTTCAAACGAGCAAGAAGAAATAATTATACTAATAACAGTCTGACTCACTCTTCACCA